CCGCTCTCGTGCTCTAATGGCCTCTCCGGCCTGTACGAATTGTCCTGATGGACGATAATGCTACTCGGGATGAAAATGAGTGAGTCCTATATTATTGTCACTCCCCGCGACCCGAAAATGATGTTATACCGTTCCTTTAGCCATTAGCTTTGGTTTGCTCGTCGATTACAAAGCCTTAGGCCCGTAGACAGCCTCATATAATCCCCTCTGTACTATCGTTGCTCTGTCATAGGCGCAAGTGCGCTACAGCCCGACGATAATGACGCTTCGGCCCAAGGTATGACAATACCACTGCCCCTTGACCAGTTACTGAATGCGACCTGACCTATTGTAAGCATATATAGCACTGCGCAGACCCGTCATATAACTGCTGCTCTGCTTTTGGAGCAGTTATACTATGGCCCGACGATGATGATGCGAAGGCACAAGGTATGACAATGCATTCCCGCGTCTCGTTACTAAACGCGGTCCAACCTGTTACAAAGCGCATACACAAGCTGCAAGTGCTGCCAGGGGGCGGTAATATTATCCCGCCAACCCATGAATCACACTCTACGACATCAACCGGAATATTTCAACAATGATATCGCGCCGGAGTGCCAGGATAACGGCGTAGCGCTCGGCGCTACACTCGCAGGGCTAGACTACTAGCACTTGTTCTGCCACACGCTAACCTAGATTAGGCTGGCTACTATTATCATAATGTCACCCCCGACTAGCTGGCAGAACGGGGACGATGATGATATTGTACCGCCACGATACGCTAGTGCTACAGTAGATAACCGTTGCCACTAGGTGTGTACGTACATGTATGTATAATATATCTATGCGTCCGCCCCGAGCGCTATCATGTTCAGCTTCCGCGCGTGCCCGATAGCTATTGTGCTCCGCGCATACATCCTATCCACTGGCCGGCCTAGGCAGGGCGGTCCCATCGCGCTGAAGACATTACTCCAAGCCTCGATAAGCATTTTTGCGCCGGCTGGCCGGCGATCGTAGTTCACGTGGTGATAAACTTCCCGGTGAGATGTGGACAAACCGTTGGGGGCGTGGGGGGCGTTTTGGAGCATCTGAGTGCTTGGTGCTCGTCCGCTCGCGCAGGGGCGAGCTTTGTCAAATTGTCATCACTGGGGCGAGCTAGGTTGCGGGATGATATCCTGGCATTCATTATTATGGTGGGCAGAGCGACCGGCTCGAGTATGCGATAACACGCATTTGGTATTATTGCTTCCCTGGCACCCGAGCCCCGCCCCAGGTGTAGCGACGACAATTCTTGTATAGCACTGGAATACACGGTGGTTTCATTCGTGAGTAGACCACAGTGTTATCATACCACGCCGGCGGAGCGTCTTGTTCTCTAACGTCTGACAATAGCTGTTATTATTATCACTCGTGCGGCTAGCGTTCACGCGCCAGATGGTATACAATATGAGAGTACCCTTGACTCCGCTGGAGTGCGCAATGCTTGCTACGCTGCGCTGTACGGTTGGGACAGAAGAATGAGCGCGACGCGGCTGCAATCTTTTCTTTATTACACTGACTACTATCATCATGCACCACTACCGTCTACATATTGCTAAAATTTGCTTGCATATAATCATACAGTGTGTTGCTATACTACCCTAGGCGGTGGGTGTTGGCCCGTAGGATTTGTCAGAGAGGTTGGGTACTTGAGATCACGAGAGCTGCACCTTCTCAGCAGACTGTTTGCTGATGCTAGCGCTTCTGTTGACATTGCCCCAGGTGATCATTGTTTGTTTGATCGTGGGGTGCTTTCCGTTGAAAAGATGTTGTTGCCCTATGAAGTACCCAAGCTTGGCCGTATGCTTTGGGTCCGGCTTGGGTTCAAAAATAGCACATTAAATGTTTGCTTGGCCGGTTTACATATGCGCCTCAGCCTTAGTCTAATTGTCCATGATAATTAAGTTCTTATCCTTCCTCAACATGTACCCTAGTCCCTTGACGAATCAACACTTAAGTAGTCATATCATTAGATGTACGGCCTAATCTACCTCGTGTAGGTAACAACACTCAAACTGTATAATCAGACCCCTAGCGGATAGAGATGACGACCTAGAACTTCCCGGAATTCAGGTCCTGGACCTATGATGAGAGTTCTGCAAGCCCGAGTACAAAACTAGTTACCTTAGCTAGGTTCGGGTATGACGTCACCGAGTTTACATCCACTGCCTTGGTATGCCAGTCCATGAAGTTCTCAGCCTGCTTGGTTTCGAGGGGGTTCAGCAGCGAGACGATTCAAACAATCATCTTGAGTCGAAGAAAATAGTTTGTGACGGAAGGCAAGTGTCCCCTCATATATCATGTCCGCTATCACTAACCCATATAACTTTGTTTCGTGTCTTCTACATGCAATGTCAAGTTACCACATGTATGCCAGGTAGCCCGTCGCTTTCTCGATCGCCTCGATGAGTCGCTTTCAATGCGTCAAAACCGGTTACCCCCGTGGTTCCTGGACAGCGTTGACGGTGGAAAAATCCTCAGCGGCGAAGTTCATGTCCGCGAAGCCATCAAATACGGCGCCCAGCTCCTGATCAACCAAACAAAGCTGAATTCTAGTCTATGTACTCCCATAGAAATATGAATATATGCACTCACCAGATCATCTGCACCCCCTCCTCGAGCTCTTGACCCAGTAGTACCCCACTTTCCTCCACTGCAAGTGCGTCCCCGAGGTCTCCGTTGAGTATTTTGAAGTCGTAGAGGGCAGTAAATCGACCACTTGCCCGCCACGGCCCAAGGTCTTCAGCCCAAAAAAGTTAAGCGCCGGGCTCCTGAGCCGGTTTCCTCCGAAAATACCTCGCCGCGCCCTGTTGCACGTACCCACTGCGACGCTGAGAAAAATTCGAAGATAATTCATGTATTTTATTTATCCTACTATGTAAACGCAAAAGTCGAGCCTCAAAACTCGTTTTCGACAGAGCAGTGCGCCTCGCCGGCTGGCAAGTTGGGAGCGGTGAGAGTTCTCTGCGTCTCGTTCTGCCGCACCACAACAAACAACGGGTAAAAAGTCAATTTCTACAGCTACAGCAGTCCGATCTAGCGCCCGCATCCCTCGCACTCTTGCCGCGAGGATTGGGATCCAGGTAAGAGCAGCCCGACGCGCCTGGTCTCAACGGTTGGCGGTTTACTCTTTTGAGCCGGCTGCCAAACATTCCCTTCAGGGTTTGATGCCAGTAATCACTTACGCAAGCTGCCACAGGGATGATAGGGTCTTCCGTGACGGGAGAAGGCCGGAAACCGAGCTTGTCACTCCGCGTTTCCATAGTGTAGTACTGCCCGTAAAAGGCATGTCCCAATAAGATCTGGAATACCCTGGGCGCGAGAGTGGTTCTCTGTGCGATCAACTGATGGTGCAGGGCGGGCACGGTATATGCCGAGATGATGCGCCACTGCTTTCCAGTTATGGCACCAGTCCTGGATGGCTGTCCTTTGCGTGAGCCTTGGCCCACGGTTGAAGATGAGGGATTGCTGCAAGCTCGTCAGCCAGTTTGCTGTCAGGGAAGACCTGGTGGCCGGGGATCCAGCGTATCTCAATCCTGGGGTGGTCCAAAGGGGTCGGTCAATTGCCCTCTTGAATCCAAGTCGATTGGGCAGGATGTGGACAAAGATCAGTGATCTAGCAATATTATTGGCTAGAAAAGTCGGACTTGAGCCAGTCAATACCGTCGAGGTCACGTGGCTATCTCTTTTTTTTTTTTTTTGAAATACATTTATTACTCGTTACACGAACACTAGTCGAACCACGAGGCGCAAAGCGCAGGAGCCAAAGGAGAGGTGTACAGACGGTATAACAGAGGGAGAGGCTACTGTGGAGGAGGCTACAGTGGAGACGAGAGGAGAGAAGAGAAAGTAAAGAACAAAGCGGCCGTCTCGAGACGGGCAGTCTAACTACGTGAGTTTGCGGAATGCGTTAGAGCGAGAAAGAAACGTAACAACGGCTTGTAAGCCTAAGATAGAGCTGAATAAATCGGCGATGCAGAGGAAGCGCGATGCTTTGCGGAGGGCAATGCGGGCGTCATTGTGTAGGGGGCATTCGATAAGTATATGCGATATGGATTGCGAGGTGGTGTTGTCGCACGGGCACGAAGGGTCAGGCGGATCCTCTGTTTTCTTCTTTTTTCACGTGGCTATCTCATCGTGAAGGTGTTTTGGATTGACCTCGCAAAGAAATGAGGAGAGTATCAAACACCGGTCGAACGACCGACGTTTTACACTTGTGAAATGAAAGCCAATTGACAATTGCAGAACAAACACAGCAATAGAGAACAACAGAGTGACCGATGTAGAGAAAGCTAAAAACACCGGTCGAACAGCCGACAGAACGAGGAAGAGCAACAGTCCAACGTACACTGAGAACAACAAAAACCCGAAGTCCAATTAGCGGCCGGCTATTCGCCATCAGACTTGGACTCTTCGTGTACATGCGTTTCGATCGCCTCCTCCAAGTGATTGTAGGCTTGTTGTAGCTCCTCGCATTCACATGGTTCAATAAGCGATTGAATCAGCGCCCTGTGTCCCCGTTCGCGCGCCTCGTCTTTGCCCACTGTTTCCGCCAATTTTTTAACAGTCTTGCTCAGCTTTCCGCCAACTTCCGCGATAATCAACAACCCCACTACTTAGTTGCGCTAGGATTGTATGATGAGTACATAATCGATAAGTTTGATTAAACCAATTAAAGGTGTGGTCCGTACAATTTACCAAATTCATTTAAGCGGCCTAATTAGACGGAGCGTAAGCTTTGCTAATGCTCGCTAATATTATGATTTTTTATTCTCAACTCACCGCTGAGTTGCTCAACACTACATTCATCGCTGTGCCCTGCCTCTATGTTACTACTTTCGTGATCTAAGCCACATGCACATTCACCCGACTCAGCGCTGTTTGGAATTGCAACTTATCACCTCAGTCTAGCAGCTAATTCAGCGACTTGCGGGTCCCCTCGATAAAACTGTAATAATTGTGCGAGCACAGCAAAAGAATGTCCCCAGCATGAATCGAACACGCGCCGCTTCGGGAAGCTTGCATAATCGCTATGCGACCACAACGAAGCGTCATAACCACTAGACCATGGGAACCGATAATTGTTCGCCTTTCAGAATCCATCTCGGCGCTAGAAACAGCTCATTCCGAGCCACGGACCCCGCTTCTGATGCGCAGCGAGCTGACGAAGAGTTATCGGGCAGAGCACAGACTTGTAGATAGTTAAATAGCTTTTAATTCTTAAGTGCGAATGTAGAAGGCACAAACTTTCAAGCGGCAAAACATAAAGTCCCAGATACTAGAATGGAAAACCTTACTCAGAGCTCCGACGACTCGATCTCTGGAGTGACTGAAGGATGTGGATGTGAACGCGAAGGATTATAGCGAAGAGCTAAGCGTCAAAGGGGTCAGACCTGAGCTTTTTATTATAGGGGAGCCACTAGCGAGGCCTGCCTCATAGAGACCTTTTTTGCCAGGAAAGCCTTTGTAGCCTCGCTTCGGGAGTTATAGAGCCCGTAGTACTCGGAAGTGCGACCATTGGCGGGACTCTCTGTGACAGCTTGGGTGTAAGGCGTGAGGGTACGTCGAGCCTAAAAACCGTAAGGAAGCTAGCATAGAACGACTAAATGCGCTATAGAATCCAAACTTACCTTGCGACTAACTGCACCTACATCCAGATTGCGTTTGCACGTAACTCGATGTAATTTTTGCATCACATACACGACACCTGACGATACTGGTGAAAATTAGCCAGACCCATCGTGAGCAGTAGATTGAATTACAGGTACACGATTCGGACTAGCGTATCGATTTGAGCCCAGCGGCCTTGTCATATACCACTGGGGTAAATTCAGACGTTTTAATGCGGTACCACCCGGAAATCAGAATTTCAAGTTCTCTGTTCCGTGTTCAACATAGCAAAGACCCAGTTGGTCAGTGAAGCATGATCATGATCCGTATATATGCGTAGCTTTACCAGTCCAGCAAATCCAACCAGCCACCTGTTAGGCTTTAAACACAGTCACTAGCCCGCGTTACCCGGATGTGAAGACGACTCGACACTAAGAGGAAGAAAGCGTGCTCGACTGGGTGAGCCGCCAGGGTCTATAGAGGACCAGGCAAATGTAGGACAAAGACGAGTGAGATCGGAGCACATTGCGCGGCTGCCAACAGCGCCATGGCGCGAGATAACCGTCGGCGAGAATTTCGAGTGAGGGAGAGCCCCTGAGATGCCGTGCGGTCTCCACACCTCTGGCAGAGAGCGACGAGGAGATGCCGTTCGACGATTCAAAAAGAAGGGCCAGCGTCCAGAGCGTCGGGACTCATAACCTGTAGCACGTTAATCACGTTGGGCTTGAATACGCGCGGTGAGAGGACAAAAGAATGACTAGATTGTGCCACAGGCGCGAGCAAGAATAAATACAACCTTGAACGTCAAGGCTCAAGGCTCGGGAGTTGAGCTAGTTCAGACTACTCTACAATCTAAATACGAGGAAACTTCAATAATTTGAGACTGAAAAAAGCTCCAGGACTTATATAGAAGCATTTTGGTGCACCGGAAATTACTGTGTTGCAAGAGAGTAGAACAGGAGGCTTGTCAGCAGAGCTTGAAGCGGATTGATTCAGATGGCTAAGCGCCAGATCCGTGGATTGCAGATTTTTGCGTTCCATTTTAGGGGAGTGACCAGCTTACAGAAGCAAGGTGATAGAGTTTCAAACAGGAGTTTGTGAAACCGATTTGGCTTTAGCTCACATAGCTTTCGTCGAACAACATATCAGGAACATAATCGATTCAAAACCCAAACCAAAAAAACTACAAAACAGCCGAAATAATGTCATACGTTATGTATAAACAACCGCTAAAACCAAAAACTAAGCCCCCAACAAGAGGCAGAAAAACACCGGCCGGGGTGAGGAATGAACTCGGCGCAAGAGTTACGGGAAAAGAGCCAAGTAGGTTAGGCGCGGAGGAGGCAAAGGGCTGGTGGGAGGGATAAAGGGGTGCGACTTGGCGCTACGGGTGAAGATAAGATATGAAGCAAAATAAGAGACCACGGGCGAGGGGCAAAAAGGTAACGAACGGAACTGGCATTGCGCCACGGGTATTGAAGAAATGACTATACCACACCACACCGCAAAAGATACAACTACTGTCCGCGCAAAATAGGAAAAGTACATTTGAGCCAGGAGACAAGCGCCGAGTGGGCTGCTAGGACCGTCGTTCAAGAGGGAAGGATGGGTTCAACTAGCTAGCCTTTCCGACGGAATTGTCTCCACTCGCGTCACTATACGACGACACATCGCTCGTCATACTCTTCCTGTACGGGTTGCGATCTTCGGCGGCGGCAGAGGGACTCAACCCTCCATTGGCGGGGGCGTAGAGGGTGCGCATGCCCTGCTGAGCACCAGCTGGGCTGGGTCCAGCATTGCGAGCCTGGGCGTAGGCGTACATCATACCATCTGGCGAAGAGGTGGTAGGGAGCATGGGCATGGCACCGACGGGAGACAGGGCCCTGTGAATCGCTGGGGGAGGCTCAACTGAGACGCCAGGCGCATCGTACGCATCATAAGCCAGGGCCATGCTTTCGGGACGGAGAATATAGTCTTCACTGCCTTGTCCGGTGCGAAGATCTGATCGAGGGTCGGGATCAGAGTCAATCATGATCTAGCCTAATTAGAACTCACGAGTTGCGGCCGGCATCTTTAGAATATCCTCCCTCAGCTCTCCATCTACACTAGGACGGCCGTACTCTTGTCCTTGCGCGACCTTGGCCCGGATCTCATCGGCGCTCAACGAGAATGGGCCGGTGGTCTGAGTTGGGCTCATCTCCATATCATCCGATGCCGTCGTCGCGTTGTGGAACGCCCGGGTAGGGGTGTTGTGCGAGTGTGTAGGGCGCAAGGAATCGCCAAACGAGGGACGCGAGTCACCAGCAAAGCTCACACGGCTGATGCGGTCCGGGTTCAAAGCAGACAACGCACGCGGGCGAACTTGCCCCATCTCTGGTGCCGATCCGATGGACGATGGGTGCACGCTCGGCGATCCATGGCGTGCGCCAATTCCTGCCTGACCGCTCTCGGTCGCGAAGGTAGACGAGGGTCGTCCGTTGGTACTCCCCATGTTCTGGACGTACCAGCTCGAGGCGCGCGTGTTGCGGTTTCCAACACCAGACGGACGACCGCTGCCGACCCAGTCCTTGGAGACCACAGACATGCGTTTGTCCATGGCTTGAGACCAGCGATGGCGTTTCTTCGCTTCCTTGCGACGGCTGAACTTGACATATACAGCCAGGGCGACGGCGACAGCCAAAATAGGAAAAATGACAGCTGCGGCAAGTCCGCCTTTGCTAAGGCCGCCAGTATTGGTATTGTTGTTCACAGTCTGGTAGACCTCGTCTGGTGTGCTAGTGTCGATAGCGGCCGCGGCGCCGCCAGTGGCCGTAGCAGCAGCAGTCGCATCATACTTGGCGTTCCAGGTAGGTCCAGCAGGAAGACTGGACAGGAAGATGGGAGTGCCGCTTTCGACAAACGAAAGCTGCAGACTGACCGCCGCTGTCGAGTTCCACCACTTGGGCTTGAGTTGATCGGTAAAAGTGCCAGCGGCAAAGTTGACCTTTTGCCAGACGTGGATCGCGCTAGAGGCAGTGGAATTTGGGGCAGAAAGATAGATATCGATAGTCGGGGGCTTGGAGGCAGATGTGGAGAGGCAGGAAGTATCCCAGGTCATAGTGAAAGCCTGGAGTGCGTCAACTGACGCTCCCGACGCCGGTCCAGTGTACAAACTACAGCCTATTCAACTCAATTAACACAGAAGAAATGAAAGAAAAAAAATGCAGAAATTTACCCCTCTTCTCTTCGACTCGCTTGGCCATCTTGCGGTCGTGACCAGGGTGGCCAACACGGATGTTCTTCAAAAAATCGAGGTCGGAATGGGGCATGTTTAGTGTGTAAAGTTGATTTAAAGGAAAGAAAGGTCGTAAAGACTGGAAGTGGAAAGTCCAAACTCGGAAACTATCTCTCTTCAACGCCGAAGAGGCGGGAGGGGGAGTGTGGTCGACGAAGGGAACAAAACCTGATTGAGGCGCGGACCCGGGACACTATGACAACCGACACCATGCCCTTAATTAGCGCTAAGCCGCATATAGACAACAACCCTTTGATAACGACCCTGCCGATGATGCTGGTGCTGACACCTATCCCTCACGAACCTTTGAGCCTCGGAGGCCGGGGCGGAAGTGGCCGTCAGGTGAGCCTGGGAGGCGTGGGTTTCGTCGATTTGCTTCATCGGCGTTTCCACCGCCCAGATCTCCTCGGCTAACTGGTCCACGTAAGCGCACCTACTGGTCAGCCGCGCTTGCGCTACAGCCGGTCTACTGTACACGTGACCGTCCTTCTCCCGCACCTCCACCCACCGTGGACCCTGTCGGTAGGTAAACAATGTCGGGCTGACACACGACAAGTCCAGCAAGTCCACGTGACTAGCTGGAATCGCCCGGCGCTTCGAACTTCAGGTGAGAAATTATGTCTTGTCCTTCGCCGCTCACTCTCTGTGATATTGCTATTTAGTTTAGATTATCAACGAAGGTCTTTTTATTTTCTTTCGCAGTCTAGGTTATATATACGACTATTTCATTGTAGATAGGTTATTTATATACATGATTGTCGCTTCAATACCATTAGTTTTTATACGCCAGGAGGAGCGAATTCAGAATAAAACCCTTGCAAGTGGGATACGGTCGATGGCGCTGGGACCGTATTGGCTGCTACTGCTGAAGACATCGACCGCGTGATAGTTCGGTTTCTAAGTGTGCGAACGGGTTGCTGATGGGACGCTGAAAGGCTAGCGGGTGCACGCGAGCGGGAGCGGCGAGGACTGCCAGTCCGGCGAGCAAGTGTTTCAGGCGTCTCAACGTCCTGGAAACGTAGAGACGGTGACTGTGGGCCGTTGGGTATCTGAGGAGCAAATGGAGGGGGCTGAATCGCGTTACCACCCTCCAGACCGCTGAAACCCCCTTGCAGTCCAATCGGTGCGTCGAGACTGGGCCAGGTGGCTGGACCAGGAGCTGAGAACGCTTCAGCTAGAGGGCTATCGAAC